TTATCCACTAATTGGGATCTAATCGAGGTAGAGGAAATTGCCTGAATAATCGCTTGGTCCTGGTAGGCGGAGAGTTTCAGGTAGATGCTAATCTTTGGTTTTTATTTGCTATTCAAAAGAATTTTTTTTGGTTATTATAAAATAAACTTTCAATATTAATAAAAAAAATCCCTGCACCAAAGCTGCATTCTATGTTTGGTCCGTCCGTGAACATCGTTAATCCCTCAGAGAATTGAACGCTTCCAGGGTTTAATTGGTGAAATTTATGGTACAACTTTTTGGACCATCAACCTCTTGAGATCCTCGTTGGGAGTAACATCCAACTGTAGTATGAAACTTTATAGCAGATAATTGCGGGCTGATTGCTGATGATTTTCCCAAGACTGACAGATATTTCAACACAGCATATGAAATAGAAAAAGCTCAACTTTTTGCTTATATCCAAAAATCTTAATAAAATGCTTTCACTCCTCGACTTAAACACTTCAAGCAAGAAACCTTATAGCTGGTTGCTAGTGTGGATTTTGATTTGCTTTCTCACATACGATTTGGTTAACGAGTTAATCGCATTTTTTAAGTTGTTTTCATTTCTAAAATCAAATGTACTTAAATGTGTTATAATATTCATTTTATTTTGCTTGAAGTTTTATTATTTTTAAGTAATAGTTCACACAATGTATGTACTTAAATATAACAAGTTTAACACGCCAAAAATAAACAAAAAAAATGTCCACTTTCAATCTCAATTGCTAACCATAAACACCGCTTAAGTGCCATATTTGGAATTGAAAACTATAAAATCGCCAATAAATATTTATGACGCGAAATTTTCAAATGCTGCTGCTGTTAACGAGTGCGACAAGCACATATGTACTTACATAGTATGTGGGGCGTTCGATACCAAAACGGACGGGGTTCCCACTTCATGTGTTTGATTTGTTTAAAATTTTTCGGGTGGACGCATAAACATAAAGAATAAATAAATACGAAATTTGAGCTTGATTAATACATTTCTAAAAACTTCACTGCACAAAACAAAAACAAATCGATTTAATAGTTTTCCAAATATCTCGAGAACGAGGCGAGGAAAAAATTTGAAAAAAAAAAATCACACATACACACATCAAAAAAAGAAGTATTTAATTTTTTTTTCTAGAAAAAATTTTCACATACAAATTTTTTGAAAAAAATTCTATAAAAAATTTAAATACCTTTGGGATTTTTTTTAATTTTTTTTTGAGATGGCATATTTTCAAACACTTTTTTATCAAAAAATTTGTATGTGGAAAATTTTTCAAGAAAAAAAAACTTAAAAACATTTTTTTTTTCATAGGGAATTTTGATGTGTATGTGTGATTTTTTCAAATCATTTCCTCGCCGCGTTCTCGCGATATTTGGAAAACTATTGATACGATTTCTTTTTGTTTTTGTGCAGTAAAGTTTTAAAAAATGTATTAATCAGGCTCAAATTTTATATTTATTTATTATATGTTTGTTTTGTTTATTTGGCATGGAACGCCCCACATACATATGTATGTAGTAACATATTTGTACGAGCAATACATAAATGTGCAATTGACAACATTCTAAAGCGGTCAAGCGAATGGCGAACAACGCCACAAAATTGGCAATACCTCGGCCGCTGCTGCTCCTCTTGCTGCTGATGTGGCATACGAGATGTGGAGATGTGGTTTTTATGATGCAGTAAAGCACTTTTTTCACTTAGTTTCCCAGGCATTTTTAGAAGCTAGCCAAACCCGCAAGTAAAATAAAACCTTCCAGCAGATTTTTGATGTCAATTATGTTGAATGGAAATTTTTTATGTGCTCGTAGCGCGAATGCGTTTATGAATTGGTATGTTGTTGGCATTGTTGTTGTATTGCAATTAAATGTATTGCATGATTGTTTTTTTTTTTCATACTTTGTTGCTTTGCTGCAACCTTGACTCACATAAATTGCGTTTGTAAGTTCGAGCGCTGCAGCGTGTGTGCTTTAAAATGGGCATAACAACAGGTAACAGACGACGAATAGGCGAGCGGACGAACTGACTGTTGGATAGTTGGACTACTGCACGCCTTATGGATCACCTGCCGCGGACTGCGGTTTAGAATAATAAATGTGCAAATGTATGTCCATATCTCTCGTTAACCATTGTAAACTGCGTAGTGTTGCCACACGTCACCGCCAAACGCTTGCGCGCATTCAGTTGCGGCGGTGTTGTCAGCCGGCCGCCTATAAATTTTAATGAATTCATTTTTTCTAAATTAAAACGCAAAAGCGTATATGACTGACCTGAATTCACTCGCCGTATTGGAAGTTCAAAAATGTATTCCAATCAAAGGCTGATGTTTTTATGTGACTGAGGTATGCCTTGTTTTTTCTCTATTAAATTCTGCTATTAATTAAAAATAATGTAAAACAGACTTTTGATTGTAATGCAGACTCTTGAAACAGTATGTACGTATGTATCTACATTCATATACTAAAACTGTCGACAACTGAAGCAGCCTGTTCCACTTCAAATGCTTACCTGGGTTTCTAATTCTTCTAGAAACTATGCTTAAAACAATAAAATAAAAAAAATGTAAAAGTAGTTTTATGGAAGCATACCTCAGCATCATTTTGTACAATGTTTAGTTCTGACTAAGTAAAAAGTTTAATGCAAAAAATAAATTTTTAGTTTTTTTTTTGTTAAGCATTTTTATATTAAAATACTGTGATGAGAAAATCTTGTATATAAAAATAAGTGCACGTTTTTGGTGTTGCCGGAAATTGGTATAGAGATATTTGAAATAATTCCATAAAATGGGCGCTATTGCAAAAGAGGGCGTGGCACTTCCCATCTGCTATCTATATACATAAAAATGTTGTGTTCGTTTGTAACAGGCCTCAAAACTGGAGAACGGCTGCATTATCATCATTTATGATGCAAAAATTTGGAGGGTTGCCACTTGTTTGAAATTTTTAAATTCAATTAAATTGATCAAACAAATGAAATATTAGAATGTGGGTATCAAATTGATGAGGTTTTAGAACGATTACTGTTGGTGATATTTTTGGGAGGGTTGCCAGCTATTTACAAATTTGAACTAAGTTAAATTGATAAAATGAATTACATATGACAATCTGGATATCAAAAGAAGCTTAGGAAAGATAACTGTTGGAAATACCTTTTAGGAGGGCTGCCACCTGCTGGAAAATTTTACCTCAGTCAAATTGATGAAATAAATGAAATATTGCAATGTGGGTATCAAACTAAAGAGTTTTGGAGGGCTTACAGTTGAAAGGATTTTTGAGGAGGGTTGGTTGGGTATCAAACGAAGAGGTTTGAGAACGATATCTGTCCTATCTACGGATGGTAGTTCCCACCTCTAACTACTCATCTACTGCCGCCGTAGTTTTTCGAGACACTTTAGACTCAGAGGTGTGCGGCCTAATGTACAGCGTAGATTCCACTGATCTTACCTTCTACTGAGAAAGGCTTAGTCGTTCGTGAGAAATTTCATTATAAAAAATTTCACCAATCTCTTGGACTGAAACTATTTTTAGATACATGTGCGGTTTCTCCGCCTTGGGAATAAGTGTCAGCTCTACAATCCTCCCAAGATATAGGTCTAAAGCAGCTCGCATAGACGGGAGCCAGCCAACGACATGACACCTACATACACAGACCTTTGCAATTATGCAGGAATGATGCGATTTGTTGACAGGGACTTTTGGAACTTTAACGAGTCAATCACCCAAATCATGCGACGTTTCTTCAGTAGTTCACTAGAAAAGAATGGGGCACCGGTAGATTCACGCAGTTCGGCGTTACGGGTCATCGACCAACAGTTCGGTTTTATATATTTTAACCGAGAGCCTACTCTTTGAACATGTTGTTTCATACAGCTATTGACTAACTAGACCCTCGGTTACTATGTCCTCATTGCTGAAGTTAGGCTATTAGTTATTTTCTGAAAAAATTGGGCTTAAAAAAAATTACAGGCTGTTTGCTTAGGTTTTAAAACCCTAAGGGCCATTTTCTCAGGTAGCTTTTAAAATTTATCTACTCTTTAAACACAATTTTTTTCCAGAAAAAATGTGTTCGAAGGGCACATAAATTTCAAAAGCACGCAAGGCGCTAATACTTCTCAAATATTTTCTTTTCATAGTTTAAAACGAAAGCTTTTAAAACCATGACACAATTATTCACAAGGTATTGTCTTCCCAGCCAGTTTTGCGTCACATCGAAATTCTTGCTCTTGCTCACTTATAGTGGAAATGGGCTATAAGACTATAAGACTTTTGATATAATTTTTCTATATTAGTCTAATTTAAAATGAAAATTTTTGAAACCACTATTCATTTTAAATTTCCAGCTTTTTGAGTATAATTTTTATTTTGTATTTTTTTTTTATTGTCAGTTTTTTAATTATTTGAGTTCAGCACCATTCATTGTATGTTAATTAATATTCCACCTCGCTATATTTAAATTTAATATAAAGTAGAATTTTTAGCTCCAATATTTATGCCATTCTTCCTTATATACATATTTACATATATTTAAACAGCAGCTAGCTCACAACATAAACATGCCTGCATGCTCCTGCATCCCCAAAATATTACTGTGAAAATAAAAAAAAACTTACAATGACCACTACACGCTGTGGCTGTGTGTGTGTGTGTGTGCGCGCGAGTATCGGGTGGTGAGGGGTGGCGTAGCAAAAAACTGAGCAACACAAATTAAACAAAAATAATGTAAAACAATTAATAACTAAAACAAGAATAAAACACAATCACAGAAAGTTTTTTTTTTTGCAATTAAATTAAACAATTTCCAACAATTTTCAACAGAAAAAAGAAAAAACAAGATTTAAATCAAAATTAAAACAAACAAAAAATAGTGATTTATACTCACTACCAACCACTACTACCACTACTACTACTACTACTACTACTACCACTAGCAAACCACTACTACTCTACTACTATCTACTGTCTTCTCTCTTTAATTGCAGTTAAGGAGATTGGAAACGGTCGATCACCGCTGCTACAAGAGCCGCTCTATGGAACACGCCCACAGCCCTACAGTGAGTAGTAGTTTCGAATTAGTTTCAAAAACAAATTAGTGCTCCTCCTTTTACACGCACACACACACACACACTCGCACTGTCGCATGTGCTCGCGCGCATAACGGCAGACAGATCTAAACACATAAGAGTTTCTTTAGTTTTGAAGTATTTTTTAAGAAGTGTGCTCTCGAATGTTTGCGCTAAATAATTTATTAGCTCAGTTGGGGGTTAGCGAAAAAGCTGCATATTTTTAGCTGAGCGAGCGCTGAAAGCTAGAGCAAGTGAAGTGAAGTAGCCAAAAGGCCAAAGCAGCTCAATCAGCGAGCACCTAATACTTCAGTAGAGTTGCTTGAAAAGAAAAAATGCAAATTTTCTTTAGAGTTTTCAAGTTAATGTAAAATGTAAATGGCTGTGATTTCTCTAAGTCAATTCCCAACGCCACTGCTGCTGGTGCTGTTGAATTCGTGAGTGGAAAAAAATTTGGCTCTTTAGTTACACGCCATTGCCAGTTCAAGTACTCACTTCCTCGCCACTTAAATCTCAGTTTTTTTTTTTTGTTGCTATGCATTTTTCAATTGGCAAACTGAGTGATAGATCTGATCCAGCATGCGCTTCTGTGTCTGCCAATAGCTTGCGAAACAAGAAAATAGAAAAGTTCCAATCTCTCTCAAAGCTCGACTATCAATCGCTGCTAGCTACCGGTTGCAACTGAGTTGGCCTGCTGGCATTCCAAAGCCCCACTCATGCACCGACGCCGCCTTCGACTAACATTATCTTGTTCAGCTGCTTGCTCATTTATATTTATTACGCTTTTTCGTGTTGCATTCAAACATTTCATTTCGCATTTTTATACATTTTTCAAACAAGCACACATACATCGACTTTCATGGACTTACTTACATATTCAATATTACTTACTCTTTGGCGCATCGTCAAACGCCAAAAAGGCTACTATATTTTTTATTTGAACTCAGTTTTACTTGAGGCACAGTGTTATCGCCTGCCTCCTCCGCTCGACTAAATATGACTCTCCGGGGAAATTAGTTGGCGTGGCAAGTTCGCTACACACGCATACATACACACATCTAAATTCATATTTAATACATGTGTAGTCAAGTTTGCGGCCATATTAATATAGTCGCTCATAAAAAGTATTTTTTTTTTTCCATTTTCCATTCCTCATTCCTCATATTTTTGTGTTTTGTATTTATTATCTGCTGCATAAAAACGCTGCTCCCTTGTCTGTCTCCTCGGAGTGTATCGCCAAAGCAGTTTGATGCCTTTTGTGCTAATTTCGAATGAAAGTAGTTATTTTTATATTGCAATATATTTTAGCGCTTACTTACTTCCCTCTCCTACAGCCTCTCGGGTTGCTTGAATTATTGCGGCATCAGTTAAATTACTGTTTCTCGCGTGTATGTGGTTTTGGTTTATTTATTATTTTATATTTTATACATATATTTTTTATGTTATTTTTTGCAATTTTATTTGTAATTTAAGTGCACTTTGTGACGTGAGTTTTATTTTGCTTTGATACTTTGATTTAAGTTTTAATTAGAACTTTTTCATTAATTTAAATATTATGAATGTCATTACTGAAATGAAAGAAACTAATTGGGTTTTCCTATAGGTCTGTTTATTTTATAGGCACTTCAATTGTAGTTTTTGTAGATACTAAAAATAATCTCCGAAAAAGCATACATACTAGTTTTAAAAATTTTTGAAAGTACGGTTAACCAAAAACAACCTACGCAGCGTACTTTATTAGGCAATAACAGGTGCTCATTGCTGCAGCTTGTTACAAAAAATGCTCGCTAAACAATTTTATGGTGACAATTCCGCTCAAAAATAACTGGTTACATCAATTTATATTTTTTTATAGCTAGACACATTTTGTAAGTTTTTTCCTATAAAATAGCATTTCCTACGCAGAAATAACTCGAGACTAATTAATTAAGTTTTCTTTCAAGGCGGTAACTCTACCAGAAAAATTTCGATAACATAATACTTTAAAAAATTGTGTTGGATAAATTAACTAATTTTTGTTTTGTGGCTGGCAACACTATTTTAAGTTTTTTTGCGGCAAAATTCTATAAAATAACTTTTCCCCTCAAAAACAAGTGTAGGTAAGATTTAATTAAACTTTATCATGGGCGGCAACTTACAAAAAAAAACCCGTGTTAAAATACTCCAAAATAATTTGCTGCTCTTGAAATTTTCTTTGTTTAATTAATCATAATTTTTCGTGGTTATAACACTATTGCAAGTTATTTCTAGATTCAAATTTTATAACATACATTTCCCCACTCAAGAATATTTTTAGTAACTTAATTCAATTTTTTCATAAGGGGCAAGCTACGTTAGCAATTTTTTTACATATATTTTTAGTCCAATTAACTATAATTTTGAATAGGTGGCAGCGCTGTTGCTTACTTTTTCTGCGCCAAAATGCTGAAGAAAAAATTTTTCAATTCAGAAATTGTTCTATTCTAAATAAACTAATTTTTTTTACTTAAGGCAACCCTGTAACAGAATTTTTTAAAATTCTTAATTTTCCTTTGACACTCATATGTTTGTGCTGTACAACTTTTGTGTCTCTGGGGAACCCAATACTAAGAAATAAATAGCAACAGCAGGTTTTATATTTTTGGGTTTGCTGATAACGTATTTGAGGCCTGATTTTAAAAGTTCAAAATGGCGCAAAAAAAAATAAAAATCTACTAGATTCACCTAAAACAATCGGGGGTTCTTAATCTTACTGATTACGAATCTGAAATTAGATTTTAAAAATTCAAAATGGCGGATCCATATGGGATCTACCATTTATCATGGAAAATTAAAATCGAACGGGCGTACATGGCGTATGAGTTACATTCGCATCTCGTCTGAGTAACTCGTAGCCATAGTTGAGATGCCATCGTTTTAAGACCTTAATATTTGTAATCCGTCCCTTAGAATTTTGACCATCGTACTGTTCCAGTTGACTGGAACGTACCTTATAAAACTGATTTATTCTTTTTAAGTGCTTGGAATAGGTGACAACCCTTGGAAAAAGTATTTATGCATTAATAAGTTATATGGCAACCCTATTTTAAATTATTGTTAAATAAACCAAATTCAAACATTTTATGGCGAGAGAGGGCTATTTTTATGACGCCTCCGAACGGCAGCTTGTCATAATTCTTTACGGCAGAAATACACTGCCAGTTTCCGTATTGCCTAACGAAGGGCCACTGCAATCGCAGAAAACATTTTCCATAATTTCGAGACTGTCGATCCAGCATCGGCACATAGCCAGTGGTCATTTGACTGCGATGGACGACATATAAGTATTAAAGATGTGAAGTAAGTTTAAAAAGCTCCTGCAGCAAGAGGCAATCTAATGCACATGGTAACCCTGGTTTTCCTAATACTCGGCCGTTTAATACAAAAAAAGGTCAGACTATAAAATTGATTATGTTTATTAAACTCAATATGGCAACCCATTGAAAAATTTTTAGATTAAAAAAATTGGTGTAATAACTTAAATTAGCAATTCATATCGAACATATTTTACTACATGATAGCATTAATGTAAAAATTTGAAATGCGCAAGTGAAAATTAAGAACGTTTTTTTTCAGCAGTAAAAAAGTCAATCAGCATTTTTATTAAAAAGTGGCATGATAGCTCTGGTTTTCTTAGTAAAGAACAATGTTTTAAAACTGTAAAATTTAATGAAATTTGTATTTTAATTAAACTCAATATGACAACCCTTATTAAAAAAAGGTCTAATGACTTAAATTGGCTATTCATATTAATAAGATTTTCTATAGAAAATTGCGTTGCACGAAAAAAAAATTGAATGGCTAAATGTTGGCTGGCGACCAACTTTGTTGAAAGCGATTAGTTGAAAGTTGAACGCGAAGTTGAACAATGCAAACGTATTTTTATGGCGGATATTTTGATATTTTTTCATATTTTGATATTGTTAATCATTCAACTTTTTTTTTCGTGCAACCCTGCGTTGAGCTGAAGGCAAATGTTGCACGCAAAGTTGAACAATGCAAACACTGCCTTAATTTCGCGAATAATACTCGTATTTTACAGACTAACTGCTATGTGTTAGATTTTTATTTCTCTAAATTTAGATTTTAACAATTTTAAATAAAATTATACGGCAACCCCTTTTCGAACAGTTGAAAAAAAAAATTTTTTTTTGGTCTTTCGTTCGATGCCCATTTTAAGCTCCATTGCGAATTTATTACGTTGTAATTCGAGAGTTTTTTTATGACTACGTGGCAACCCTATTAACAAGTTTGGCAATTTAATGAAAAAGGCTTATTTTGAAAGCGTTACGCAAGTTAAACTAAATTTCTGAGATTTTGTAAGAGTATTTATAAAATATAGCTGTGGCAACTCTATAAAAAATGTACGATAACTAATATTAAAATCATATCGTTAACCATTAAAAAAGCTATCGAACAAATTTAACCAAAAATTTTATACTGGTCCATTAGTATTGGTACCAAATGTTGCTTCGGAAGGATAGATATAAAATAATATTAATTAACTTATCTGGCAGCCCTGCTCAAATTTGTTGATAAAATATTTGTAGTGATTGCGCATAATTATAAATTTTGCATTCAAGCGACCATTAAATTTAAGCGTATTTTTTAATGGAGTTGTTAATTTATTTATTTTTTGCTCCTTTATTTCAGTTCGCTTCATTCGCCTTCCACCATTTTCTTTGCGCTACCTTCCTTAGCCGCATAATTGACCGCAACGTGTAGGCTCATTAAAATTTTGTTTTGTTTTGTTTTGTGATAACAAAATTACAAAAGTACCACAAAAGCCACAGGAGAGACAATAAAGCTGTGATTTCCCAGAATTTCTAGGCAATTTTGTATCAGTTATTTGTAAATAGTACCAGCTACTTATTTTTTCTTTGTTTGCGCAAACCACAAAACCAATTAGAAAAGTTGAGTCCAAAAAGTGCATATTTTGCAAATTTAACTAATTAAATGCACACGAAAATGCT